TGCTAAATTGTCATGTGTGTTTTCATGTAGGCAAAGCTACACCAAAGTGTATCTTTTTTAGGCCCAATTTATGCTCCCCCTTAGGCTGCAAAGACAGTGGTTGGGGGTGTACACATGCTACAACTGCGATGCTTTGTACCGTGCTGTGGTAAAAAATATCCCTGCTGTTGGTTTCAGTGGAAAGTACCCCCTGTTGAATGTGGACCGTTCAACTGAATGGGGGCACCCTGCAACTGCCCCACAACAGCATGCAATGTACAATGCAATGTATGGGTTTTAAACAGGTAGGGAGGAGGCAATACAACACCTCATCACCACTGGTCAAATGCCATCTAAAGATTGCTCTTCAGAGGGTACTGCATTTGTAAATGACACCTTAATGTTGAAAGAGTAGGCAATGGTTAGAGCTCCTGTGGTTTTTTTTTCTCCTTTGTCCTTTTGGTGAGCTTTCCTTTTACTTCCAGTCCTGGTGACAATATTGTCACCCTGGCACGAAATGAGAGAATGGCACAAATTGATGATGCTTACTTTAAAGCTGATAAAAATTACCAGCTTTAATCATGATACTTAAAAAAAAACCCATTCAAACCTTCATCAGTGGAAAAACAAGTATGGTGTCTACCGCCTCTATAATTCTCTTCCAATCCTTTTACCTATTACTATAGTATAAGAGCTCTGCAATTCCCGTAAAAAACATTGCTTCAATGATAATGCCTCACAAATATTTTAGTAGTATTTTAACATTACATGTTCCACCTTGTAAACTACTGTACATCAGCACGAGCCTTCTTTGCCAGTTCCTACTCCACTAGCAAATTACCTAATGTACATCATTAATAATCAACATAGGTAAAGGGGGCCTCAAGTGTGTTCCCTGAATGCAACAGGGGGCTGTACATTATAATAATTATAGGTATACATAATGCTACAGGTGACTTTAGAGACTGCAGATTTAATATAGACGACTGTTGTAAAGTGCAGCTGTGCTATAGGAGACTAATATGTCACAAGTGTAGTTGGAGAATACTGCATTATAACCACTAGGTGATTTGATTATCATAGGAAATAAAGCTCCTCAGCAGCATCTAGTGACCTTAATGCTTTGTTTTCACATTCACGCATTTGAACTACAGAGAATATAGCCTGCGAACATGTGATTTTGTCCATTTCACGTGGAACAAATTTACATGCAGTTTTGACTGATGAACATTTATACAATTTTTTTTTTTAAATACATCCCTGAGGCTCTCACAGTAGAGAGTAGAAGTGCAAAGCAGTAGTAATAGGATAGGTACACAAGGAGGCACATAATATTTGATTGCACAACAGGCTATTATAATACACCCCAGGACTCACAATAACCAGCAGCACTGTCAGCAAGCAATGTGCACTCCTTCATTTGGCTGTTGGAGTGGCCTATCAGTCTGTCAGATAGGCAGCCCAATGGACAACTGAAGGTGTACATGCACTGAGCAAACTGTTGGCGCTATATAAATCCTGTATAATAACAATAATACATACTGTACACTTTAAATCTCCTAATGCAGTCCTCTTGCTCCCTCTCTTGGCCCTCAGTGGCTTAATGATAAATATGAAGGCAACCCCAGCTCTTCTCCAGTTGACAAATTACACTTTCTTACATAATGTTAAAGTTAAACACTTTAGAAAATGTTTTATGGTCCCTTTCTCTGAGACTGAATATTTTTACTTTAAATTCTGTTGAGTTCTGAAGGTAAGTCGTTGCAACCCTCAATAGACATAATGAGGCCACTGTATGCACAATGCAGCCTTCCTTGAAGATTTAGTCCTCTGAATTCAGCTCACCAAAGTTTAAGAGGTCTGGCAAAAAGAGTTCTTATATCCCTAAGAAAATCTGGTGAAATCTCTACACCTCAGTGTAGGGCCACAACTCTAACTTTCTTCCTGATTTTGTTTTTATATATGGAGTGTATTCTATGGAGGAGTGGGAACATCTCCAAGATGGGCCAAAGCACCAAGAACCCAGAAATGGGGAAAGATAGAAATTGTTGGTGGATTCCAAAAAATATTTGAAAAGTCAGAGGGTGAACCAGTCTACTAGAACCCACCCGTAACTAAAATATCACTTTTGGATGGGCTGACTTATTAAAGGCAAAAAAAAAAAAACTAAAAAGAAACTTATCTAGAGATGGTGTTACACTTTAAATTCCAGGAACTGCTATTACAATATTACTATACCACTATCAGTCAGCTATTTCCAGTTACTTCTCTAATAACATGTTTCACTGCCTTCCTGTCTTCATTATTCTTGTAATGACCTATAGATTTGAACATCATGGCCATTATGTAACTACAAGTACCCAGATCTTTATTTCTTATTGGGACCCAGGCATACTGAGCATAGGCAGATTTCAAAACATTTCAGAACATGGAATTTATTTATAAGGCAGCAGTGAAAAATTATTTAGTACTTATAATGAGCAAAAATGACAAAACATTTATGATTTTATCTAAAAGGATGCAACAATGATGTTTTGTAAACTCAAACTAGGAAACTGAGCGTCTGGTAAAGAGCTTTGATAATTACAGTTCATGATGACTAATGCTATTATGCAAAATATAATGTTTCTATGTTTATTCATTCCTATTTTGTTGTCAGGGTTTATTTTTACAGAACCATATTTTCATAAAACCCCTAAGGTTAGAAAAATGACTACTTGCATGACTACCTATTTTTAAAGGAGAAAACTGTGGACCTGTCATGTTGAATACTGGCTTTACCACCTAGTGAGTCACTGCATGTGAGAAGGTGCAGCATGGTGCAGCATGGTGAGCATGGTGAAGCAGCAGTAAGCACTCAAAATACAGTTTCAGTAACAGAACTGTATTGAACTTAAAGTTCAAATCAGGTTAACTACCCAGCAGGGAGAACCTGACCGGATGCTGACAACCTGCAGAGAAGAGTATAACAGTAGGTCGTGGGTGCCTTGACAGCGCCCATCTCGAGGAGCGAAATGCGGCCTGGCCAGTCCGTATCCAAATAGGGAAACTTCCAGGTAGGATGACATGTCCCTGCACTTTCTCTACTCATCTGGAATCTCTTCCTGCTGCTAATTACTGTCCCTGACAGACAGGTACATGCAAAGTGTAAATAAAATCTGCCTAACTCAAGATGGCCACTAGAGTCACATGGGATGGCAGCATCCAACCAGGTAGCTTCTCAAGTGACCCAAGAAACCACAGAAGAACCATGCTCCTCTTGACTTCCTCTCCCTTTGCAATTCCTCTGCGGTTGAGCACCACCTGCAATGGAGAAAGTAGATTGCACCTGCCAACAAGCATGCAAGGCTGGAGTGCAGAATGTTTAACCTAGCTGAGATTTTTGTTTACTAGCTACATGCTTTTTCCAAGTTGGTGGTGAACCCAGGATTAAGATTATAGCTCTGGACCCAGCTCCTTTAAGGAAAACCTGTTGCAAGAGGAACATGTAGGCCACCAATACTGACCTCTCATTCTAAAAATGCTAGCTGCTCAGAAATCACGCTGACTCACTTGTTGAGTTACCTACCTGGAACAAACTTAAAAATAAAGAATTTGGACTTCATTCTAACTTTTATTGTATGCCTGACTGTTACTGAGAACTACTGAAGGTGGACACAGCCAGGAAACTAGAATGCTTAGGAGGCCCCCAATGGCAACCCACATTTCTCTCCTGGTGGGTGTACTATAATAAAACAAATCAGTAGTGACAGTTCTGCTATTTCTATCCAAATATATCTTTAAATGACAAAGAAAGAAGTGGGATCTTGAATGTGTATTAGTTTTGGGGCAGATCACTGTGCAGACAAAAAATATTTGGTATACATTTTCCCCAAGTACGTGGTCCTCTGTGTCGTCTGTGTAGGTTCTCATTTATCCAGGTCATGGTATGGCCAATAGCGGTTAGTCACATTCAGCTTGATTTGTTCTTAAGGGCTTATTCCAAAATATGATTAATTCCATCCTACAAGCAATGTCGCTGGCAGATACTTGGTAATTGACCTCAATGCTGCATACAGGTAGCCCAATAGAAGTGAATGCACACACGGGCTGCACGCACACAAAGGCATGTCAAAGTTTGACATGCAGACAGGAGTGGGTGCACGGATCTAAATGCGGACACTGTGCATCAGTGCAATTGCTCCTGCCCGCATATGATTGTGTCCATGCATCTGCTGCATATGCATCCACTTCTATGGGCTGCCTGCATGCAGCTCTGAGGTGAATTAACACACATCTGCTAGCGGCTCTGCTTGGACAATGAGATTAATTGGCCATTGGAATAAGCTCTTAAGAACAAATCAAGCTGAATGTGACTAACTGCTACTGGCCATACCATGTTCTTGATAAATGAGAACCTTAACAGACCACACAGAGGACCACATGCTTTGGGAAAAGGTATACCAAAGTTTTTTTGTCTGCACAGTAATCTCCCCTAAAACTAATATTAATTCAAGATCCCACTTCTTTCTTTCTCATTTAAACATGAATTGGGATAGAAATAGCGGAACTATCGCCACTAATTTGTTTTATTCTAGTACATCCACCAGGAGAGAAATGTGAATTGCCATTGTGGGCTTCCTAAGCACTTTACGTTCCTGGCTGTTAATCGCCCATCTGAATGAGCCCTTAATGATGAAGAGGTTTTGCTGCCTATGTAAGCAGCATTAAGATAAGCATTGGAGAGCTCAGGATGCTGCATCGATAAGCATTCAAACGTTATATCATTTATTTTAAAAGAAGATATTGTAATGTACAGATGATGAGCCAAAAACACTTTTGATTGCAGGCTTGAAATGTTTTAATCCTTTCATTGTACATGCTTTGGAGCAGTTATATTCCCTTTTTGGTATAAATGTAAAATGCTACCTTTAAATGAAAATAATATTAATTAGCGGTCTTGTATTTATGCAATGTCTTAATTGCTTTAATATGATTTCTGTTTGTTTTTTAGAAATCCTGAAGAACTTGTTTACTTTCTGATGAAAAATTATAGTATGTCAAAAGTCTGCTTCTCTAAACCTCCAAAAGCAGCACAGCTTCCGTACAGTATGTATATTATGAATTCAGGCAGAGAATTCAAAACAGTTTAACTAAAAGACTATTCACAGTTGATCACTGCTTTAAAGGGTAACCCTGTAGCTATTTTACCATAAGCAGGGATTACAAGCAGTTTAACAAATACTGTATATCCTTTTCTTTCTCTGCGCTTTGTGAGCTATCACAGGATACCCAGGCCAGTACGTACCCAAAACTTTGCTTTATTATTATTATAAATTATTTTTATAGCGCCAAGGTTGCTCAGAGCTTTACAGTATAACGGGACACAATACAGCAACAATGCAGTTCAATACAAGAGGGTTAGGAGGGTCCTGCTCCTTGGAGCTTACAATCTAAGAGCTTTGTTTGCATTTACCTTGTCTGCATCTGCATTGGGCAATGTGATAACAAGAAAGAGGTATTCTTTATATATCTTTATTGATCAATTTTCTGTAGACAACTGCTTCATACATTTAGCTGCCTACATCCCCAAGACATGAATATTTAGAAAGCCAAAATAGAAAGCAAAATGCCTATCTAGAGACTTCTTTGTTCTCAGTCCTTGTCTGGAGACATACAGTATGTTCTCGACATTGTACCTTGTGCAGCAGTCACCTGATTCTAACACTTTGTGATCTTTGGTGATTTCATCATTGCATTGCAACTTTTGCATTGCAAACAAGTTATGTTTGTGAGAAGTGAAGATTTTGAACCAGATATACGAAGCAAAAGCATTCCTTGTTTTCGCCCCTTTTGTACCATTATAGAGCAGGCTACAGACAAAATGTAAACAATGCTTGGTTTACACATGCATGGTCTGGGCATGTGGTGGCAGATCTCAAAGCCCAGGGAAAGAAAAGGCAGAGGGTAAGACAATGCTGGTATTTTTTAGTACAGTATCTGCTTGGTTGGCTGAACATACTACTGTATTATTTTGAATTTTTCTCTGCGCAGTCAGCCTTGTGCAAAAAAAAAAATTACCATTGCTGAACTTCTGGCATTGAAAATAAATGTATCATGATTTGTGATTTATCCAGCTCTGTAACTGTTATCCACACACACACACACACACACACATACAAATGCCAAATCTTTACTGCTGTATGTGAACACTATCCTCAGAGTTTTATTGGTGAACAGATCACAGAGTGACCTCCCTACAGACCAGAGAATACCTTGACCTACAATACAAGAATGGTGAATAAAAGAGTTAACTGGTACTGTTAAAGGATAAGTTCACCTTTCTAAGAAAAAAAAATAATAAATGCCCTCTTTTTTTTTTGCATGTAAAAAAATGTGCATTAAGAAACAGCTAGGAGCTACAAGACAAACCCTTTTCATGCAGCCCCTGGAGGTGCCACTTCTCAGAATAGCCTTGTCTTAAGGAAGTCAGAGAAAAGTTGAGAAAGTAATCTTTTGGCACTGACGGTACGCATATATGCGGCCTCTTGGTGGTTGGGCCTTGACACTGAGGGGAAGATTTACTAAATCTGGTGCACTTAGAATTTGGTGCAGCTGTGCATGGTAGCCAATCAGCTTCCAACTTCAGCTTGTACAATTAAGCTTTGACAACAAAACCTGAAACCTGATTGGTTTCTATGTAGAGCTGCACCAGATTTTGCACTCTCCAGTTTTCGTAAATAAACCCCTGAGCGTCCACATATTTGCGTACCAAAAGTAAGCAAACATATGCTGAGATTGCGCGCCCTGCATGTTCCTGACACTTTTACCGATGTCTCACGGAAAGGTCCCAACTGCTACTTGCGATCGGGATCTTTCTGATCATGTGACTGCTGTGACAGTCAATCATGGCGGTCACATGACCCTAAACCCCGCCCTGCCTCCCAGCGTCACAAACCCCTGAAATGGCTGGGAGGAGCTTGCGCCAACGGGTTAAAGTAGAACTAAAGGCAAAACTTTTTTTCAGTTTGAAGGGTTATAACACTTGTAAGTTTTTTTTCTATCTGTGTCTCGTTGGGGAGATTTCCCTTCACTTCCTGTCCTATAGCGAAAAGAGGAAGTGAGAGGAAATCCCTCAGAGGTAAGAGAATCACTGGTTGCCACCAGAACTAGTGTCCCTATTGGAAGATATCCCCTCTCTTCCTGTTTTGGTGACAACCCGAAATCTTGGATTTTCTTTTACTTTCACTCTCATTGATAATGAAAACAAGATAGATAGAGAGGGTGAATCTCCCTAATGGGGGCACAGACAGCAGGTAAACCTGACAAGTGTTTTATTCCCTCTCAAATCTATCCAAAAGTTAAAAAAAAATTAATAAAAAGTTTGCTTTTAGTTATACTTTAGTAGACTCGATAATATTGAGACTTTGTGCTTTCATTAAACAAATCTTCCATTGCCTGTGTTATCTGTTTTACAGCAACATCATCAAAGCCATTTTATCCATCTTCCAGTATTGTAATCATTGATGTCTCTTTCCAGTGCTGGACACAGTACAGCTGTGCATTATGGGAATTCTTACTATCCTCACCACAATCTCAGTCATACTCTATCTGGAAGAGGCCGTGTATCTTAGAAAAAAAGTGAAGTGCATGGTAAAGAGAAGAACATCTTTATGGAGCAGTGCAGCCCCTACAGTAAGAGAGTTTACAATATCCAATTTTATGTGAATATATTTTGATAACATATTAACAGACAACACTGGAATCATAAAAAGCAATTTTTTTGGCTGAAAAAATAATTGGTTGACAGCATCTTAGCAGCTTTATATATGTCTTGCTTTAAGCTGTCTATGGGTTGTCTATAGCACCAAACCCCATTTTTAGCAAATACAGAAAAGAGTAGGATGTTGTAATGAAAATTTTGCATTGCCATAACTGACAGGTCCTGTTGTGTGACAGATGCTCTTTGGAGCTTAGTTTACTAGAATTTTTTTGATCAGTATGGTTTTTTATCAAATCTCAGGCTTTGAACTTCTTCAGGTTAAAATGACATTCACTATGACTGCTGTACACTTTTCACCTTCAATAACATCTTATTTATTTTATTTGATGCATATTCTTTATAGAGCATGCATGCCTATTGAATTAATATGATCCAAGCCAAAGGCATGTTATGTCTATTGTATCTTCAGACACTTTGCAATGGTACACTTTATATCTAATTATTAAAAAACATGCTAACGGCTGCTCAAAAACGGCTTGCCCTCACTGACGCACATCAGCATAAGAAATAGTGCCTTTTATGATCATTGCCATTAAAAGACCCAGATCTAGGATGGGGACAGTTGATGTACAGTGGATATAAAAAGTCTACACACCCCTGTTAAAATGTCAGGTTTCTGTGATGTAAAAAAAAATGAGACATAGATAAATCATTTCAACAAACTGAAATCTTTTAGGAGGAAAGTAAAAATAAAAAACTAAAACACTATGGTTGCATTAGTGTGCACACCCTTAAACTAATAATTTTTTGAAGCAACTTTTGATTTTATTACAGCACTCAGTCTTTTTGGGTATGAGGCTATCAGCATGGCACATCTTGACTTGGCAATATTTGCCCACTCTTCCTTGCAAAAACACTCCAAATCTGTCAGATTGAGAGGGCTTCTCCTGTGCACAGTCCTCTTCAGATCACCCCACAGATTTCCAATTGGATTCATTCCTTTGTTGATTTGGATGTATGCTTTGGGTCGTTGTCATGCTGAAAGATGAAGTTCCTCTTCATGTTCAGCTTTCTAGCAGAAGCCTGAAGGTTTTATGCCAATATTGACTGATATTTGGAACTGTTCATAATTTCCTCTACCTTGACTAAGGCCCCAGTTCCAGCTGAAAAAAAAAACCAGCCCCAAAGCATGATGCTGCCACCACCATGCTTCACCGTGGGTATGGTGGTCTTTTGGTGATGTGCAATGTTGTTTTTGCACCAAACATATCTTTTGGAATGATGGCCAAAAAGTTCAACCTTGGTTTCATCAGACCATAACACATTTTCCCACATGTTTTTGGGAGACTTCAGATGTGTTTTTTGCAAAATTTAGCCGGACTTGGATGTTTTTCTTCTTAAAAAAGGCTTCCATCTTGCCACTCTTCCCCATAGCCCAGACATATGAAGAATACAGGAGATTGTTGTCACATGTATCACACAGCCAGTACTTGCCAAATATTCCTGCAGCTTCTTTAATGTTGCTGTAGGCCTCTTGGCAGCCTCCCAGATCAGTTTTCTTCTCGTCTTTTCATCAATTATCGAAGGACATCCAGTTCTTGGTAATGTCATTGTTGCACCATATTTTCTCCACTTGATGATGGCTGTCTTCACTGTGTTCTATGGTATATCTAATGCCTTGGAAATTCTTTTGTACACTTTTCCTGACTGATACCTTTTAAAAATGAGATCTCTCTGATGCTTTGGAAGCTCTCTGTGGACCATGGCTTTTGCTGTAGGATGCGACAAAGAAAATGTCAGGCAAGACCTACTAGAACAGCTGAACTTTATTTGGGGTTAATCAGAGGCACTTTAAATGATGTCCGGTGTCTACTGACTCCTATTTAACATGATTTTGAATGTGATTGCTTAATTCTGAACACAGCTACATCCCCAGTTACAAGAGGGTGTGCACACTTATGCAACCACATTATTTTAGTTTTTTTATGTTTACTTCCCCCACTAAAAGATTATAGTTTGTTTTTAAATTGAGTTATACAGTTTATAGGTCACATTAAAGGTGGGAAAAGTTCTGAAATTATTTATTGTTGTCTCATTTTTTTACATCACAGAAACCTGACATTTTAACAGGGGTGTGTAGACTTTTTATATCCACTGTAAGGGGGCACACTGATGAGGACAGTTAATCTAAGGGGGCACTTTGAGAGGAGGGACTGATGTAAGGATGCACTCTGATGTGGGCCTTTTTTTGTAAAAGGCACTCTGATGAGGACATCTGATGTAAAGGGGGCCAATGTAAGGCGGAACTTTGAGGATGACTCCTGATGTAAGGACACCTGATATAAGGGGGCACAGGTTCTGTTTAATAATCCTTATACATTCTAGTGTTCTCTGTTCACTCCTGCACCACCTGTTAGACATTACTTGGGTTGTGACTCTGTGGTAGAGAAGCATGCCTAGTAAACAGGGAATACTGGTTCCATACATCTCTGTCACACTATTGACATTATGCCCCCTGACCTTTTTTTACTGAACCCCTAGATCAGATAGGCTAGATCCGGCCCTGGCCATTACCATCTGTAAACAGCAATGCAGGGCACACAATAATAAAATAAAATTGTTATGCATTTCTGAATAATAAAAAGGAAGTGTAAAGATGAATTCAGTTAAATCAATCAAACATATATTACATGATTTGCATAAACACATCAGTGTTAAAAACCAAAATTAATGAGTTTAGAGTGATCATAATAAACTTTATTCACATAACTCTGTACACTGACATCATTCTCTGAATATCCCAGTGATATGACCAGGTTAGCCAGAGAAGATCTGAGATTGGAATATAGTGGAGTCCATGCAGGAGTTGATGTAGTGCTGTCTTCTTATGCCTACTGCGTGACTGAAGGCTTGTCTATGTTATTATACAAGTGAGTGAAATACTGTTCTAAATAAAACATTCAATAACACCACAGTGTCAAATCAAGTTATAAAGTGTCCATAAAAGAGTGTCGAATCAAATTATAAAGTGTCCATAAAATAAAACTCCATTTATTAATTCCATGAAAAATTAGCCTTCCACACCCAGTGTCCAAATAAACAAATAATCCACTTGTGCAAATTCCACCGCATGCATTGGGAGTAATAACTCACCAGATATAAATTAACAAAAGGCGAATCATAATCAGCTGTATCAGAATGACCGACTCACCCAAAGTCTTCACAGTCTTCCACACAGTAGACTTTTTGCATTTAGGATGAAACAGTACAAACACTCAAAAAAGGGAGATGTTCTATAGTGTAAAAAGTTTATTAAAATTGAGAAGAATATAAAAAATATATTATTGCACTCACATATTTCGGTGTCAAACAGCACCTCCAGAAGGCAGAAACAGATGCTCTGCACTGCCGCTCACTCAACCTGAGTTGGCGTGTGTTCCACGACTCAGATTCGTCACGGAAGGACTGGAAGTGACAACAAATGGCTGGGCATAAATGCATTTCACAAATTGTATCATCAGGAAGCTCAAACATGGCTATCTTTAGAAGTCTTTTATGCCCTTCCATCCCAACAAGCGGGAGAGGGTTTTAATTTGCATACTACCCAATAAAATTAATACCAATGAAGTGAGGCTAACAGCATCGGGTTAACCCATTATTTTCCATATATAACACCATCATAATAAAGACTATAAAATCTTTAAAAAATATAATAAGAACAGATCCATAAAAAATATATACATACAGTTGCAAGAAAAAGTATGTGAACCCCTTGGGATTACGTGAAGTTTTGCATGAATTGGGCATAAAATGTGCTCTGAACGTCATCTAAGTCACAACAATAGAAGAACACAGTCTGCTGAACATAATACTACACAAACATTAGATGTTGCCATGGTTTAATTGCACATAACATGTAAACATGCACAGTGCAGAGAGGAAAAAGTATGTGAACCTTTGGACTTAATAACTGGTTGACCCTCCTTTGGCAGCAATAACCTCAACCAAATGTTTCGTGTAGTTGCAGATCAGACCTGCACAATGATCTGGAGTAATTTTGGACCACTCCTCTTCACAAAACCATTTCAGTGTAGCAATATTCTTGGGATGTCTGGTGTGAATCGCTCTCTTAAGGTCATGCCACAGCATTTCAATCGGGTTGAGGTCAGGACTCTGACTGGGCCACTCCAAGGCGTATTCTGTGCTGTTGCAGCCATTGTTTTGTTGAATTACTTGTATGCTTTGGGTCATTGTCCTGTCGCATCACCCATCCTCTGTGGAGCTTCAGTTGGCGGACAGATGGTCGTACGTTTTCCTGCAAAATGTCTTGATAAACTCTGGAATTCATTTTCCCATCAATGACAACAATCTGTCCAGGCCCTGAGGCAGCAAAGCAGCCCCAAACCATGATGCTCCCTCCGCCATGTTTCACAATGGGGATGAGCTTTTGATGTTGGTGTGCTGTGCCTTTTTTTCTCCACACATAGTGTTGTGTGTTCTTCCCAAACAACTCAATCTTGGTTTCATCTGTCCACAGTATATTTTGCCAGTAGTGCTGTGGAACATCCAGGTGCTCTTTTGCAAACTTCAAACGTGCTGCAATATTCTTTTTGGACAGCAATGGCTTCCTCCGTGGTGTCCTCCCCATGTACTCCATTCTTGTTTAATGTTTTCCTTATTGTAGATGTGTCAACAAAAATGTTAGCATGTGCCAGAGATTTCTGTAGGTCTTTAGCTGACACTCTGGGATTCTTCTTTACCTCATGCAGCATTCTGCGCTGTGCTCTTGCAGTCATTTTTACAGGACGACCACGCCTAGGGAGAGTAGCAACAGTGCTAAACTTTCTCCATTTGTAGACAGTCTGTCTTACCGTGGACACATGAACATCAAGGCTTTTGGAGATACTTTTGTAACCCTTTCCAGCTTCATGCAAGTCAACAATTCTTGATCGTAGGTCTTCTGAGAGCTCTT